ACTTACTTCCATGGATCCCGGTCCTTCCGAGTGTGGCGAAGAATGGGTCCGCAGCCGCAGCAGCGACCGCTTTCTCCAGTCAAAGTGAACTGGAACGAAGCTGAAGGGTAGTGATGCAGTCTCCTTACTCCGCCCGTAAGTTCCTTTCGTGTTTCGCTGAAGGGACCTTGGTATCGACGCAGCTTGAGTATAGCGCGGGTGGGGTATAGAGACGGCATTAGGGCATTACTACCCTGCAGCCCCGTTCCCGTTGAAGAAGAGGGACTCTATACTGCAGCTGCGGACCCATTCGCCTCGCACATGGCCAGGAGCGTGCTCCGAGGTGCTTGTACAGTTTGCCTTTAAGGGGTCTGTTTGACTACTAAAGACCATAACCGAAACCCGCAGAGAACTGACGCTAGTACTATCAAATTTTAGTGGCCTATTGTGTTCTATCTTTATGGTTTCAGAGCAATACAATCCATGCGCTGCCACCACTTGCCCAGTTGGATCCGATTGCGTGGTGAGACAGGTGGTATGCGTTCGAGCACCTTGGTGAGTATAATGTTTCAAATTCGATGTATAAGTTCCTTTCGCGAAACATGAATCAGGGCATGTCTTGCCTGATTCAAGTTGCTGGGTAAAATTCTTGGAGAATACCACCCCACTCCCCCACCCACCTGCCAACTTCCCGAATTCCTCCAACTTCCTACTATTTCTCTGGAGCTTTCACAAAAAATAAAAATTTTTGCACTTTTTCCTCAACAACTGCCGTCGAGTGATGAGGGGAAGGGGAACGGGAGGAGGAACTATTGCACAGGTGAAACCGACAAACAAAGGCAGATACCACCCTCACCCCTCTCGCTGAAATTCCACGGCGTTCCCCGCTTTGAGTGGAACTCTTGAAAGGGCGGAAGTATTTGGACCCGAGACATTCAGGTGTGAGAAAAAAGAAAAAGGAGATGTAAGAAGAAAAATGGATTACATTCCATTACACAAAAGAGCCCTTGCTAATCAACATAAATTCTGCGTTGATGGGCGGAGCTACTTGACTCACTAAGCTTTCCTCAATGGCGCTCTACTCCAGACAATTGATGGGGTTACCGTACCATTAGAAGCGGCGGCCGATCAACAAGTAAGAAAGAGGGCCTAAATGGCCGAGTGGCTTCGCTTATACGACGTTAAGTGCTTTCGAATCAAAAAAAATCAAAACCATACAAACATCCATTTCCTTCTTTTTTTCTATTTTTTATTTCTTCTTTCTTTTCCACTTGCTTTTTCGATTTATCTTTTCCACTTTTTTCGGTTTTTTTTTCAATCCATTGAGGTGCCATTTTCAGTAATCCAGTAGGAGAATGTGTTCCCCAATCCCAGCCAGACCGGAGATGTGGACAATTTGAGAGCTTCCAAAGCTGTGCCAGTAACTGCGAACCCAGCTGCTCCAACAGAAATCCTGTAAGTCTCTGGTCTTTAAAACGCATATTTTGAAGGTGACGGCACAATTTTGCTCAATCTCTAATGCTCAACTGGTAATCTTTTGCATGCCCTCAATCTGCAAGATAATTCCTGCCATGCTAGGTGGACAGGCCTGCAGCCTGTAAAAGTGTGTCACTTTCTCCACTGGAAAAATACTAACTACTAGTAGGACGGCGACATTCTGCTCCTAGGGTGGTGTAATGGGCCTCTAATGGAGACGATCTTAGTGGAAACGTTAGGCCAATAAATAAGAGTGTTCCACCTGGAATCGCCTCGGCGCACAAACTCGCGGTTTTTGACTCAAACTTTCTAACTTTTAAGAGCAGTGTACCGCCTCCGGGTATGTGACAAAGAGAGACTCGTATTATAACTTCGCCGCGCTGGAGGGCAGCGCGTGCGACCGAATCGCGCCGCAAATGAAAAGAACAGCCGAAATTAGTCTTGATTTGTCCACGTAGGACGGTCTACATGAAGTGCGGTGTTCTAGTCGACAGGTTCGGTTGGTTGAGTATAAGAAAACACGCCGTGGCCATCGCCGCGCGCGTCGAACTGACGGCAGATTAGCGATTTTCTGCACCGTCTCCCACTGCCTCCTTTGTTAGGACCCTTATGGAACCCTGAGCACTTTTGCGTCTGCGTGTTCGCTCGGTAACGGAGAACCTCGGGAACGGAGAACGGTGTCTGGCTACCACTACCTTACAGCCCGATTCCGGCGCACTTTCGAGTAATGAAAGCGGTACACTTCTACCAGCTGTAGGCCTGCCACCTCGCATATTGCGAGGTTGGTATCCTCCGGGCAGGGATGTGTGTGTGTACCAGTGGAGAAATTGCCATAGTGATGGACTCACTCACTTTATTACAGTTAAAGGACAAAGTGGTTGCACCATCTTCCGGCCATTCCCCCCCCCCCCCTTCATCCTCACGAGCACGTCCTACTGTACCTATAACTAAGTGCACTAATTGTTGACGTTCATGCAGATCTTCAGAGGGAGAGAATAGAGACGGGAGACCTAGGGGGGATGTAAAAGTAAGAATCATGTTTTCTTAGGATATCAGCAGGTTTTTAGCCTCCTTAGGCGGCTTCTGAGTTTGACTACTGCATGGGGCGTCTTGGTCTACGGACAACTTAAACTCAATTTCCTTCAAAACGGGCCGATTTTTTTTTTCTGTCTTCTCTCCTCTCTCGCCCGAGTGGCACTCTTCGCGCGCAGCGCATCGTGCGCGGAAGGTCTCGATGTGCATCGATTTGTGGACTGGACCATTAAAACTCAAGCGGAACAAGACGCAGGGCCCAATGATGCCAAACTTTCCTGTCCCTTCAACAATGCATTCCAAAAACCGTCCGAGGCAAGTTGTATCTCTCGTCCACGGTGTCGCTTGCCATGCCTAACGTGACATAATACGATTGTCTTGTCACACACACCCGGCTTACGACCAAAGTCTGAGAAAGCAGGCAGGGAGGAGAAAAAACTCATCCAGCTTTCTAAAAGGAATTAAAATGTCACTTTTCTGCGGTCAACCTTTCTATTGCATTATTTCTTTGCTTGAAAGCAAAATAACGATAGCAATGTTTAGACTTGCATTCTGTCATGTGCACCACCAAAATGCCAGTGCAACACCGGTTTCTACCGCAATGACAGCGGAAGTTGTGTGACAGCCGCCGATTGTGACGCCGCCGGTAATACGAACCCATACTAACCCTTCCATATGTTTCTAACCTCACGATCACAAATGCATCATCAGGAAGATTTGTTTTACATTCACATATAGCACCTTTAAGTACAATGATCGGTCACTGTGACTTCGTTGTTCACTTGAACGTCATCTGTTCTAATAACAAACTATCCTTTTTCCGAAGGAAACTCTCTATTACCTCAGTTTATTAATATTCGGGTACTTTCACTATTGTACAGATACACGACTGATAAAGCATTCTTCTTGGGGAATCGATTTTCTTGTTTTCGTTGCCTTATGTTGATGTACACAGAGGAAAACAGATGCGTTGAGTGTGTAAGTTCTGCTACACCTGTAACGAAATGGGTTTACAAGTTGAGTTGAGCACCCTTTCGGTTCGCAAGGATCTGGCTGCGAATTCTGAAAACTGGTAACCTGGCAGTGATTCGAGGCTACAAAAAATATTCCTCAATTGCAACAAGACTTTGATAACCCTGAAGAGACCCTAAAAAACCCTGACCCTTAAAAACTCTCCGAGCGGAACCGAGTAACATCGCCCGAATAATCTAACCGTTTTTTGGTTTGGTTCACCCACCCCGGGGATACAAAAGACTTCATCCCTATTACAGCCATTCTACTTTTTCACAGAGCCTTCTTCAGATGCTTCAGATGTCCTTTCGAGGGCATTAGGCATAACTACCTAACATCGGTATTGTATGCTGGCAGGATGTTATGCATCGAAAAAACGAAGTGAAACGGTCAAAAACCTGCGAAGAAAAGCCTTCGTTCTTCATGACTCAGAAAGTAATTTCGGACGAGTTTCCCGTAGGCATCGTGCCAATAACCGCTGCTGGGATACGGATACTGTGTACTCATCCACACTGTGACTGCTTCATATCAATCCCTTCGCTTCATATTTTACTTCGCAAATGAAGCAATACGAGCATCAGGTACGGTCGTCCATTTGTGGGCGGGCGGGCGCGGTGGGCGTCCGGGTCGGTATGTTGCAGCTTGATAGGGCCTTATAAGGGCACCTTCTTGGAAAAGGCGCTACGCAGCGCCTGCTCAGGGGCACGGAATTCCGTCCTGCCAGGCGTATTATCCTACTCGTTTTAGGGTTATAAGGTGCTCATTGCCAAAGGTGATAACTTTCGTGAGCAATGCGTTTCCTAGGGACTGCTTCGTATGACATTTTGTTCCTAAAGCAAAGGATCAGGCAAGCGCAATAGCACATGCGAAGGCAGAGGAGATCATGGATGAAAGTGACAGAAACAAGCGATAATTGTAACCCGCATGAGTTGTATTCCCGTTGACCTTCAAGTTGTCTTGCGGCTGTCGGTAGCCTCTCCGTCTCTCCAACTAAACCTATGCCGTGGATTATTCGCTAGGTGGACGCGATGAACATATTTTACATGATCGTACAGAGCTTAAAGACACATGGTACGCTCATACACATTGAGGGTGTATGAGACTATCAGCCCCCCAGATGTCGATGTGTCGTGGTCCCCCCGCCCAAACATGCCCAGGAATGGAGATACAGGGCCGTGAAACACGCTAATTCTTCCATGCTCCGCCCACTGCCTTTTTACGGCGCAGATTCCCGCCGTTCATAACATCCGTCGTAAGCGCGCCTGTCGCGTGCGGCTCCTTGGCACTTTGCCAAGTCCTTTAATTGCGCTCTCAAATACGAGTAAAACGCAATTTCCTGATGCGGATAACATTGGAGGTGCTACAAAATAAGAACAGAAGATGATGACGAGGGCCAGAACTCAAGAGCAACTCGGCTGCATCTGCAGTATCCATCAGAGGCCGCGCATTCCCACAAAACATGAAAATAAAAACAGCCCAAGCGTCCCACTCGTTTGTTCTAAGTATTTCTATGGCTTTGGCGCCGGATCGTAGAAATTTACAGGCCAGTTTATCTAATTTGCCTTTCCTTGATTTTTTCATTTTTGTTTTGTTTACATTTACATCGTTGTGCTTCATTTCTAGCCTGTGTCATCTTCATCTCCTTGTACATGGATTTTGAAGCATGAGCAACACCTAAAATTTTATTCGCATCAGGAAATTGCGTTTTGCTTGTATCAAACTAACGAGTATGCCGTTTTATTTTCATGTTTCGTGGAAATACGCGGCCTCCGAGGGATGTTGCAGAAGTGGCACAGTTGCTTTTAAGTTCTGACCCTCGTCATCATCTTCTGCTCTTATTTTGTAGCACCTCCAATGTTATCCGCATCAGGAAATTGCGTTTTACTCGTATTTGAGAGCGCAATTAAAGGACTTGGCAAAGTGCCAAGGAGCCGCACGCGACAGGCGCGCTTACGACGGATGTTCAGAACGGCGGGAATCTGCGCCGTAAAAAGGCAGTGGGCGGAGCATGGAAGAATTAGCGTGTTTCACGGCCCTGTATCTCCATTCCTGGGCATGTTTGGGCGGGGGACCACGACACATCGACATCTGGGGGGCTGATAGTCTCATACACCCTCAATGTGTATGAGCGTACTATTGCTTGTCTTTAAATGAAGAACGTGACCATTTCGCTGGCGGTGCTCAAGTCACACTTAAACTGAATGATTTTTCGGCCTGTCTCCTTCGATTCCTTTGCAAGTGCTCATCCTAAAGACCAAACTAACAATATGCTCATGTTCCTCCCCTGACATTTGCACTGCGATTGGGATAAGATTTATTCCGTATACCAGCGCAGCGACAACAGACCATGCTTACATGAGAAGGTGGGTTGGAAAACTGCCTCGAGGATCACCGAGTCACCTGAACTCCCCGAACGACTCTATTCGCTCTTTCCTCAGATACTGTTCCAGTGATCCTCCTCGGCCGCCGCTTGAATATTCTCTTGTAATCGTAGCGAAACTGTAGAAAATACACGCTGATCCGCCGCATCTGCCATTCAAACCGTTAGAATATTTGAGCAAAGAGCAAATCAAAAGGAGAAGCACGGTATATTTTTCCTTCTACTTCGAAGAAGCGTCGTTTCCGAAAAACCTCGCACAGCGATTGAACTTCGAGAGACTAGCAGGGAGGTACAGTATCTGACCTCTCGAAGGAGGTTGTAGATATGTCTATAACGAGGGCAGTGTACTGACACACCTTTGTCAAGACGAGGATGAAAGCTAGGTTGTTGGTGAGCCGGCCCTGCAGAGAAGATTAAGTCACAGGAAAATGAGATAAATACATTCTTTTCAAGGAATTAAAATGCTCTTTCTGTCACCTCTTGTCCTCATAGCATGGGCAGAATTGGCAGAAAGAGTCATGAAAAAAGTAAACACTGTGTGAGCAGTTGCATTTTGAATCTGGTTTTTGAAGAGGAAAAATCTTCAAGTTTTGCACGTGACTCTCTGCAGTACCTTATGTCTGAATTAGCTGTAGTCCTGTTAGGTGTGGATGATCAGGGAGGTTCGGTCGACGCTTTGCCCGTTAGTGTTTTTCTCTCTCTCGCCAAGTGAAAGGGGAGACGGGCAAGAGAATCGTAAATTGCCGCTTCGTCGCGTGCGGCAAGTGGGCGCGACGTTTCCTTAATTTGCACTACCCTTTCGATTGGAGCATCGGATTTCATGTAGAAAAAGGCAGAAGAAAACTGGTAGGATTTTATGTCTTTTTTTTGGTCATACATTGTCTATTCTCGACCAATACCACCTAAAATCGTCGTCATTAGCAGGCGCGACGTCGCACGCGACGCCCACTGGCGCGGCGAATTACGATTCTCTTGCCACAAACCGAAACGACAGAATTGTATTATCTCTCGTACCTGTCGTTTACCATAGGCTGTGGTCCCTTACACACTTCAACAACTGACTTCGACAACATACTTCACGAGAACGGACTGGCTGCGCGCCGTATCCATCCTCACTTATACGTCCCTCACCCGTAAGGCACGGATGCTTGCTCGACCTCTTCAGGGAAAAACTGCTGCCTTTTCCGAAACAATGTTAGACCCTGGTTCTGCAAGACGCTAAAGAGCCCGAGTGCGCCCGCTTTACTTTCAGATATAGGTCAGGTTTAAGACCCTTTCCAGGTCATTATTCAAAACTTTGCTTTCAGATATTAGTAGAGAAAGCTTCCAGTTGCTTAATAGAGTGGGGGACTGAAGTGCAGGTATTTTTTGAGCTGCTGCAACTTCATAACTGCACTGGTTACAGCTGATTTTTATTCCTACCATTTTCCGAACAGGTTCTGCTGAGAAACAGGGAAAAAATCTTTTCCGGAGAAAAGGCCGCAAAATGGTGAAGAAAAAGTGCTGCTGCGATCAGAGCACTGCTCAGAAAAGCTCCTCCTGCACTTTTTTTCGTACTTTGCCTACTGTCTTATTTAATTTGTGAACCGTGCACAGCCTTTGTTTCCTGGTGTCGTTACTGATTCACTGCATGAATGTGGGAGAACAAAGCTTTTTCAGGTCAACCCAACGGTTTGATCGCTGTGAAGCCCACCGCTCCTCCCATCACCACTCCTTCATGGGGTAGTTTTTTCTTCGAATATTGAGACCGTATTCTCACTGCATTTTTCGCTTTTACCTATCTTGTTCGAATTTTTAAATTTATCTAATCAGACCATTGTGGCAGGAATGAGCCATTCCACAACGATTGAGGTGAAGTGATCTCCCGGCTAGTATTCCGAAATTTATGGAACTTCAGGCGCGGGGGTAAGCCAGTGACGACCACGTCCTGCCCTTTCTCAAATTTTTTCGTTGGGCGATTCCAGGGAATGAGGATTTTTGCCCGTTTCTAGTTTGGTGGAGGTATATGATGTAGCCGTGCCTATCCTCCTACTCAGGAAGAGCTTTCTCTTATTTCCGGAAATTGTTCACACTATCCTAAATTCCCTCCCACCTGCATACAATAGCGCGCGCCCTATTTCTTAGAGACAAACTATTCTCAAACTATAAGGACGGTCCTTTCTATGTAGGAGGTGAATGGGTCCGAAGCTTCAGTGGCTTGTCACTTTCTCCACTCAAAATGCACGCGGAGAGGCTGGAAGATAGTGAGATCCGGAAGCCATCTCCATGCTCTACC